GAAGTAAGGTATTACGTGGCGGCCCATCAGCTTGATGGAGTCCATGATGCGGGTGTGTTCCAGCCTGCCGGGTTGGACGAAGCAGAGCACTTGGTCCACGCCCGCCTCTTGATACTTCTTCATAACCTCGATGATGGTGTCCGGGTTGCCCATGGCGAATGCCCCCGAGGCTAGATGGTCCTCCACTGTTTTGTCGGCCCGCTCGGTTTGGACGGCGTCGACGGCGAACTTGTAGGAGTCGGGCACCTGCCGGCCGGCCCATGGGGCGTACAAGTTCTCGGCCTGCTGCACGAACCACGCCCCTTCCGGGCCGCCAACCCGCTGTGCTTCCTCATCGTCTTCGGCGCAGTGGACGATGCACAGGGCGGCGACTTGGTTGTTCACGAAGGAACCCACGGGGTTGGCGTTCTTGACGGCCTCTCTGTAAACGGCGACCCGCTCTTCCATCTGGGCATAGCCGCCCAGGTTGAAGCACAACACACCAAGGCCCAACTCGCCCGCTTGGCGGAATGAGTCCGGCTGGCTACAGGCCACCCACATGGGCGGATGGGGTTGTTGCACCGGCTTGGGGATTACCGACCGCTCCGGATGTTGAAGAACTCCCCTTGGTGGGAGAAGGGGTCTTCGGTCCACATCTTGGGGATCATGCGATGGCTTCCCGCCACTGGGCTCGGGTCTCTTCCGGGTCAACCTCGAAGCCGTCCATCTCAATCAGAGTGGTGGAGCGCCCGGTGCCGAGGTCCATGCGGCCATCGCTCAAAATGTCCAGCACTGCGGCCCGCTCCGCCACCCTGACCGGGTGGTTGTACTGGCTCGGCAGCAACGCCACTGCGTGGCCGATGCGGATGCGCTTGGTCCGCTGGGAAATGGCGCCGTACAGCACTTCCGGCGCGGAACAGTGGGAAAACTCTCGCAGGAAGTGGTGTTCTACCGTCCAGAAGTAGTCGAAGCCCACCTCGTCGGCCAAGTCTACCTGCGCCAAAATCTGCTTGTACCGCTCCGCTTCAATTCCAGGGTAATGGGGTTCGGGAATCTGGATTTCATACATCAGTCCGAATTTCATGACGTCCTTGCTACCCTAATGTAGACTATGGTCAAGCGCATATTACCACAGTTGCCAGCTAGTCGTGGGCTGATTCGCCAGGCCAAGCCTGAAGGCATTGAGCATAGTAAAATCATCCCCGGATAATATCCACTAATTCCCACAGTTCTTCCCCAATCAGGCGGGAATCCATCGCCAGGACTTGGCTTCCCGCCTTCGCAGGGAAGGCGCATCGGGGACCTTCCTCCCCCGAAGAAACGCCTCCCCCCGCGTTCGCGGGGGTGTATAGTAGCTTGACACCGCCGGGGGCGGCTATAGAATTGGAGCCGTCGCCCCAGCCCGCCCTCAACAACCTGGGAAATGTAAGGAGTTTGTCGTGAGGGACTTGACCGACGCGGAAGTACAGGCCATGGGATACGCCGTTGGCTTGGAACTGGATGGACCGGAGTTGACGGAGGTAGCGCACAGCCTGAACGCCATGCTGGAAATGATGGACGCGCTGGACATACCCGGCGTCAACGCCGTCGAGCCCGTTCCCCTTATTCTGCCCGATATGGAGGTATGAGATGGAACAGGCTGATATACCCTTCCTTTCAGCAACGCAATTGGCCTCCTTGATCGAGGCACGGCAGGTCTCACCGGAGGAGGCTCTGCATGCTTACTTGGACCGCATCGAACAAGTCGGTCCCAAAGTCAATGCCTACATAACCGTATGCGCCGATGAGGCCGTGCAGCAGGCCCGCCAAGCCGGGCAGGAAATACAACAGGGCCGGTACCGCGGCCCCCTGCATGGGATTCCCGTTGCCGTAAAGGACCAAGTCCACACGACGGGTATTCTAACCACCGACGCCTCTAAGATAAGAGCGGACTTCATCCCGACCGAAGACGCAACCGTCGTAGCCAAGTTGAAGGAAGCCGGCGCGGTCATAATCGGAAAGACCAACATGAGCGAGTTCGCCATAGGTGATTCGTTCAGTTCCTTCAAAGGCCCGGCGCGCAACCCTTGGGACCTGTCGCGCGACCCCGGCACCTCCAGCACCGGATCGGGCGCGGCCACTGCCGCCCGGCTGTGCGCCACGTCTCTGGGAGAGGACACCGGAGGGTCGATTCGCGGCCCGGCATCCCTCTGCGGGCTGGTGGGGCTGCGTCCTACTTGGGGCCGGGTCAGCCGATTCGGGGCCGACGGGGCCTGCTGGTCCATCGACACCATTGGTCCTATATCCCGCACTGTGGAGGACTGCGCGGCCACCATTGGGGCCATCGCGGGTTACGATCCCAAGGACCCCTACACCCGGCAAGTACCGGTGCCCGATTACCGGCAAGCCCTGACCGGGGACATAAGGGGGTTGAAGGTTGGTTTGGTACAGGATTATCTGGATCCGGAAAAGTCCGGCGTGGACCCGCGAGTGCGAGACGCCGTAATCGCGGCGGCCGGGGTGTTAAGCGAGTTGGGCGCCGACGTGCGGGATGTTTCACTGCCTTTAAGCGTCAATTGCGGGGTTGCCATCCGGACCATTACTCACGTAGACAGGGTGAGCCTGCACCCGGAATGGCTTAGGGAGAGGCCTCAGGACTACCACCACAACACACGGGTGTCCTTCTCAACCGCGAACCTGATCCCGGCCCCGGTGTATTACAAAGCCCAGAAGGTACGGGCCATGGTTCGCCGGGAGGTACTGGGCGCACTGGAGGACGTGGACGTGCTAATCCAGCCGACATCCGCCGCACCGGCGGGGGTTATGTCGATGGACGGCACCGTAGCCAGTAAGCAGCAGGCAAAGCAGGCCCTGCACAGGGGCGGTTACACCGGTCCCTACAGCCTGACGGGCACGACCGCCATGTCGATACTGTGCGGGTTCAGTTCGGAAGGCGACGGAGGCCTCCCTCTGGCGCTGCAAATTGCGGGGCGGCCTTTCGATGAAGCCACTGTCCTACGCGTTGGGCACGCCTATGAACAAGCCACCCCTTGGCACAATCGTCTTCCGCCGATTTAGCGCAACTCCCGTATACGGATCCGGCGTCCAGTCTCAAAAAAGTCCCCTCTCCCGACAGGAGAGGGGACTTGCACATAAACGACCCCTGGAAGGGTTAAGGGATCAGTATGTCCGGGGTATTTCGCAGTTTGTCGGGTATTCGCACCGAGAAAGGATGCCTGGGCATGTAGTTAATTTGCGGGCGGCGCAGTTCCAACTTGGCGCACCACCGGCAAATGCCCATCCAGTGATGCCAACGCTTCAAGTGGCCGCACCAACAACGTTCGTCTTTGGTTGGATTTCCGGTAAGATCGTCACTCAACCCGGATGTGCTCCTTGCGCCAAAATCTTCAGGATGCACCGGCATTTGGTCCAGTGGGCCAACCCGTTTGAGGTTGAACGCCAAAGGTACACCAAGCCTAGCCTGCTCCTGTATCGCCCATAAAAGGCGGTGCAAGTATAACACCTGTTTGCCGGAAAGTGCCCGTGGTTGCGTCACAGCAGGATCGGCGGATTTACTGGAAGGATGACGGCGACGCCACCATTGCAATGTAGTCCTCCAAGTTCATGGCGGCCAAGGAAGTCACTTGCATGGTGCCACGAGACCCCAACTCCACCGAAACTCTCATTATAGTTGCGGTGTCCGGGGCTTCCACAATGTTGATGAAGTCGTAAGGCCCCAGGGTCGCGTATTGGGCCAGCACCTGTACGCCCATCAACTCTACTTCCCGATTTACCTCTTTTATCCTTGCCGGGCGTTCCTTGACCGTTCTGCGCCCCTCATCGGTCAGCGTACTTAACATAACATATAAACCCATGCTCCCTCCCAGATGTGTGTAATCTTGGCTCAACAAGCCGTATCACGGGTTGTGCAGGGCTGACAATCAAAGGGGGTTGGGAACCTGCCTGTTCTCGCCAGTCCGGGCTGGTCAGACCTCGAAAAAATTACCCGGGCTTGGACGACCTTCCCGCCGACGCGGCTCAGAGCGTTTTGCTGGGGTTAACCTTAGCATGGTACCACTCTGAGCCGTATGGTTCATCGACGTTTTTTGACCGGAATTCGTCTTTGCGCGGGTTCTTGGTCAGGGGAGAGATTGCCGGGTTAGCGGGAGCCTGCGTCAATAGTGAGTCTGATGGCCGATGGTTGCGGCTGTTACGGTGTCATGGGGCGTCTTTGAAAGGAGTAGTATTTAACCCCGGCGCAGGGCACCCCGTAGAACCAGTGAGCAACCTCCACGGCGACGGGCGCCGCATCCTCGGGGTCCATCTCCACTTGTACGGCCACTGGGGCGGCATCCTCAACCTTGGTCATAATCTGTTCCAGAAACTCGAGTGCAATGGGCGGCGATTCCAACAGTACCATTTCATACCTCGCTGTCTGCTGGCTATGGGTTCCGAAAGTCGCCCGTCAACGTCCCTGGGTCTGACATGTAATCTGAAAGGCGACGGGACTACCGGGCCACCAATTCCCTGACAGGTCTTACAACCCTGACCTGGTGCGGGACCAATTCCTTCACCTTCTCGCAGACGCTCCCCTTGATGAGCTTGGCCAGCCCCCGGCGGTCGTGGGTGGACATGGCGATGACGTCCACGTCCTCCCGAATTGCGGTCTCCCGGATGCCTGCTGCGACTGAGCTTGCCACCACTACCTCGGGACGCCAATCACCAGGACCGCGGTTCATGCGGTTTGCGAAATAGCTCAAAAATCCCAAGGCGCGGGACCGTTCCGTGTTCTCCATTTCCTGTGCCGACATGTACCCAAGCCCCGACATCCTGGCGTTCTGCGGGGGAATGACATGCAACAGAATCCCCTCCCCATCAGGCGCCATCATCTCTTTGGCAACTCTGAGCGCACGTTCGGTGGCATCGAAAGAGCGGTCCAATGGCACGAGTATCTTGTCGCAACGCTTGGCCGACGCATCGCCTTGTTCCGTCCAGTGGAACCATTCTCCAATGGAATAATCTATAAGGTTGAAGTCATTGTCGAAATCTCTGTACATAACAGCCCCTCCTCCCGTATTGGTTGTTGACCAAGGACAGTGTTACCGGTGTTTTCACCCCCGCCTGCGCGAGGGCAGGGCCTACGCAGCCATTGCCCTGACCATTTGAGCCACAGCTGCGGGGGACGGATCTCCGCCTCCACGAACCGCGCGGTGTATCGCCGGAAGCAGGTCCGCGGCCATGTTGGACTTGGACACGAAGCAGTCTGCGCCGATGGCAAGAGAAGCGTCCCTGTAGGTGGCCGAGTCTATGAGCGCCAGAACCACGATCCCCACTTGCGGCAACACGGTCCGTATACGTGGAATGACGCCAAGCCCTTGCAAGTTGGAGTTGTACGGGTCGATGACGATCACTGCCGGACAAAAGTCTCGTGCACCCACCAAGGCCGCCTCCATCCTGGCGGCGGTGCGAAGGGTGACGAAGCCGGATTGGCGTTGAAGAAACGCCGTTGCCGCCCGCAGGAACACGGGGTTCTCGTCTATGAGCAATACCCGCAACGCTTGCTTGTTGTTGGCGGCGACGTTATTTGGCGTCATGGCGTTACCTTCCCACCCATGTTTTACAATACATAATATGCAGTCGACATAAGAGGAAAACTATGGGGGCTTTCCCTACTTTGGGGGTAATAAATGCCCCATTCTGGTGGGTCTATGCCCGGCGGCGTGGCATCCGGACTGCTGTTTAACGGGACGATATACAAGCCTTGGCGGCACCCTGTCGCAAAAAAGAAGCTGGACACAACCTTGCGGCTGTGCCCAGCTATCATCCAACGGCGCCATCTACTTACCTGTCTTGGCCGGAGTCACCTTCTCGCTCTTGGCGTCAATCCGCTTGTAAGACGATGCCGGTGAACTTCCTGGAAACTCTGCTATGGAGTATTTCCAATAGTGGCGCCGTTGTTTTGGTGATGGCCTCCACCGACCTGAGCCCCGTCGGCTCACTCACCCCGTAGCCCCATCAGTGGAGGCCCAAACAATTCTCGTTGCGTCTGAAATCCCTCACCATCAACCTGCTCCTTTTCCCAATTTTCGTGGAATACAGAGCCTCGAAACTGATGGCGCCCCCACCGGCCCTTGCACCTGCCTTGTTCAGTTACTCAGGCCGGACCGATGGGGGCCCAAGTAGGGAATTTCCAGTTGTGAAGCCACTCAAAGTCTCGGATCATTGCGGTCTCCTCCGTCTTGTTCTCTACAAGTGAGGTTCACCCTCCGTGTGTATATGATGAGGCCAAATGGGGAGGCAAGTAATGGGGAAACACCCTACTATCGGGGATAAAAACACCCCATAATCCGCTGAGGAGACTGGCCAATAGCTGGGCTGCTAGTAGTCAGTCATGTTAGGAATCGAAGGGATAGAGGCGGTGTAATTTGGTTCGGGCATCCTGGGTGTTGAACCGCCAGTTGATGGTGGTTCGGGCGGCGTTTCGCTCCTGCGCCGAGGCCCCGACTTCCCGTTGGAGCGATTCCTCGTCGGGGAGCCGCTGCCTCAGGCAGGAACGGGACAGTACGCTGAACTCGATCTCCGCCCCCGGCCTCCGCCGGGGCAGGCTATGTTCAGCCAACTGCCGTGCTTCGGCGTGTAGTGGAACTCCAGCCGTTTGGCAATCCGCCGCGCCTCGGCTGCCGGGAAGGTCTCGTACAGCGACGCCACGCGGTGAGTGTTCAGGTTGTCCAATACCACCCGCACCACCGCTATCTCCGGGTAGGCTTCATCCACCAGCCAGCGCATCTGCTGGGCGAAGTCCTGCATCGTGCGCCGTTCAGTAATCGCCACGTGGCGCCAACCGGCCAACGGTTCACAGGCCAAGAACAGATTGCGGGTGCCTTCTCGGCGGTACTCGTAGTCCTGCCGCAGGGGGTGTCCCGGCTGGGCCGGCAGCGCCGGCTGGGTCTCGGCCAGCAACTGGGTGGAGGTCTCGTCAAAGCAGACCACCGGCCGCTTTGGGTCATAGGGCTCGGCGTACAGGTCCAGCACTTCCTCCATGTGGGCCACGAAGTCGGCGCTCACCTTGGGGATGCACCACTCTTTCTTCTGCCACGGCTTGAGAGCGTTTTTTTGAGCCGCTGGCGCACCGTCTCGTGGGACAAGGATGACGCCAACCCCAACTCCACCACCTTCCCAGCCAGCAAGCGCAGGGTCCAATGGGCATGTCCTTCCGGCGCTGGGCTACAGGCCAGGGCGATCAGGTGGGCTTCGCCCCGGTCCTCCAGCTTCCGGTACCGGTTCGCTTGGACCCGGTCTTGCAGCGCCCCAGCTAATCCAGCTTCGGCAAAGCGGCGCTTGATGCGGAACACCGTGCCCTCCGCCACGTCCAGTGCCTCGGCAACCCGGGGCGCGGCCCAACCAGCGTCGGTCTTGAGCAGTATCCGAGCCCGAGTAGTCACCCGAGCGGTACTTTTACCCGCTCGTACCAAGTGTTCCAGTTGGTTCCGCTGCTCCGGCGTCAACCGGACTCCGTACTTTTCCCTAACCATACCACCACCTCACTTCAACCCAGTCTGTTGCTCAGAATAGCGCCTTGATTCAGACTCTTTAAACTACCATCAAAAACAGATTTGACTGACTACTAGTAGTCAGTCATGTTAGGAATCGAAGGGATAGAGGCGGTGTAATTTGGTTCGGGCATCCTGGGTGTTGAACCGCCAGTTGATGGTGACCCGCGCCTCGTTTCGCTCCTGCGCCGAGGCCCCGACTTCCCGTTGGAGCGATTCCTCGTCGGGGAGCCGCTGCCTCAGGCAGGAACGGGACAGTACGCTGAACTCGATCTCCGCCCCCGGCCTCCGCCGGGGCAGGCTATGTTCAGCCAACTGCCGTGCTTCGGCGTGTAGTGGAACTCCAGCCGTTTGGCAATCCGCCGCGCCTCGGCTGCCGGGAAGGTCTCGTACAGCGACGCCACGCGGTGAGTGTTCAGGTTGTCCAATACCACCCGCACCACCGCTATCTCCGGGTAGGCTTCATCCACCAGCCAGCGCATCTGCTGGGCGAAGTCCTGCATCGTGCGCCGTTCAGTAATCGCCACGTGGCGCCAACCGGCCAACGGTTCACAGGCCAGGAACAGATTGCGGGTGCCTTCTCGGCGGTACTCGTAGTCCTGCCGCAGGGGGTGTCCCGGCTGGGCCGGCAGCGCCGGCTGGGTCTCGGCCAGCAACTGGGTGGAGGTCTCGTCAAAGCAGACCACCGGCCGCTTTGGGTCATAGGGCTCGGCGTACAGGTCCAGCACTTCCTCCATGTGGGCCACGAAGTCGGCGCTCACCTTGGGGATGCACCACTCTTTCTTCTGCCACGGCTTGAGAGCGTTTTTTTGAGCCGCTGGCGCACCGTCTCGTGGGACAAGGATGACGCCAACCCCAACTCCACCACCTTCCCAGCCAGCAAGCGCAGGGTCCAATGGGCATGTCCTTCCGGCGCTGGGCTACAGGCCAGGGCGATCAGGTGGGCTTCGCCCCGGTCCTCCAGCTTCCGGTACCGGTTCGCTTGGACCCGGTCTTGCAGCGCCCCAGCTAATCCAGCTTCGGCAAAGCGGCGCTTGATGCGGAACACCGTGCCCTCCGCCACGTCCAGTGCCTCGGCAACCCGGGGCGCGGCCCAACCAGCGTCGGTCTTGAGCAGTATCCGAGCCCGAGTAGTCACCCGAGCGGTACTTTTACCCGCTCGTACCAAGTGTTCCAGTTGGTTCCGCTGCTCCGGCGTCAACCGGACTCCGTACTTTTCCCTAACCATACCACCACCTCACTTCAACCCAGTCTGTTGCTCAGAATAGCGCCTTGATTCAGACTCTTTAAACTACCATCAAAAACAGATTTGACTGACTACTAGTTCAGGTAGTTTGCCTCCACCGGCGAACAGGGTTGCCTCCAATTTGGGGAGAAGAAGTTGTGGAACTGACAGAGCTGATTGAACGCGCCCCATGGCGCGAGGCAGTTACTTACCGGGACACTTGGCCTCATGAATACGTCCTCACCTGTAAAGACAATTGCGCTGAACTGCTATCCCGAATAGTGGAACGCTGGAAGGCAGGGGAGGGCGTGAGCGGCCGCTTTTTTCGCATGGAAAACACTTACTTGTTCGTGGGGGACTACAAATATTGGATCATGACGCCCTACGAAGAGTTCGACTTGGAAGAGGCGAAAGTGGATGATTACGTCCTGAACCGCGCTCGCCTCTACCGGGACCGGCGTGACTTTGCAATTCAACCCGGTGACACCGGCAAGCCAGGGGACTACCCTGCGACGCCGGCTCGGGAGTGGTAGCAACCACTGTGGGATGTACTGGTCAGGCAGGACTACCTTCCAGTTTTCAGGCCCTCCAACCCGTACTATCATAAAAATCAGAGGTAGATGCTGGTCATGACTCAACACGATACTTTGCTGGCCCATTTGGCGCTCAGAATTGCCGGCGGCCCTGAGAACGCGGCGGTGGAAGCGCTTGTATACATCCTCAAACGGTCCAACTCCGCTGCGTCCTTTTTCAATAGACTGATAGCAGATTCCGTTAGGGCACCAGTGGAAGATTGCAAAGAATTTCAGGCTCAAGTGGTCGCAGACGACAATTCGCGTCCCGACTTTGTGGGTTATGACAAAGACGGTGAGAACCGAGTGATCGGTGAGGCCAAGTTCGGGGCCAAGCTACTACCCGGCCAGGGCTTAAGCTACTTGGGCCAATTGTCAGGTTCCGGCAATGCGGTCCTGCTGTTTGTGGTCCCGGATGCGAGGATCGACTACTTGTGGGGGGAAGTAGGGCGTGACATTACACAGGGCGAAGAGCAAATAGAGCTCGAACCGATCGATCGTTCCAACCGGACCAGAAGCGCCCAGGTGAAGGGCACCAGCGGATATCTGGTGATGGTCAGTTGGCGTGATCTGCTAAAGGGGATGCACGACCATGCCGCCGGCGAGCCAGGCATACAGGAAAACATCCGGCAGTTGCAGGGTTTGGCCGAACGAATGGATTCCGAAGAATTCCTTCCTCTGCGCCAGGATGAACTCAGCCCGCACCTCGCCCGCCGGATGCATGACTTGGGCCAAATTTACGAAAAAGTGGTCAGCACACTCAGCCAAAAGGAGTGGGCCAACTACATCAGCAGTAGGAATACCGCACAACCCCCGACGGGCTATGGAAGGGCTCTGGAGCTATCTGAGTATAGCGTCTGGTTTGGCGTTTACTTTGATCTCTGGGCCAGAGGCGACTGCGAGGATACACCTTTTTGGGTCCAATTTTATGGATGGGAGCGGCCTAAGTTGAACCAGGTAACCAGGACTTTGGGCCTTCAACTATCCGATAATGAATATGTCCCAGTGCACCTGAAGACAGGCGTCGAGATTCAGGTAGTAGTCTATGACATCGTTGCTCAACTGAAGATAATCGCTGACGCAATCGCGAGCGACATTTAAGATGTTTGGCGGAGACTTTCCAGTCCTGCAGCTGCTCCAACACTCCCGGTAGTCCCCCCCATCGATTCGCTATATAATAGCCGGACTAAATAGAAATTCATCCAGGTTTAGAGGGAGTGGTTATGAGCATCGCCATCGGTTACGTGCCCGGAGCATTCGGCCAAGGGGGCGATGACCCCGGGTTTTTGAAGGAACTGGTGGGCCTGGGTGACAGCTACGGGTACGATTCCATCTGGCTGAGCGACCGGATCGTCAGCGACCGGTTCAGCTTGGAGCCAATGATCGCCCTGTCGATGGTGGCGGCCTACTCCGACAAGATGAAGTTCGGCACCAGCGTACTGGCCATGCCACTGCGCAACCCGGTGGTGCTGGCCAAGCAGATAGCCACCTTGGACTACCTGTCCCAAGGAAGGTTCTTCCCCGCCGTGGGGCTGGGGCAGGAAGAGCCCGAGGAATACGAGGCCTGCGGAGTGTCCCAGGAAGCCCGCGGCCCCCGCACCGACGAAGCCATCCGGTTGATGCGCCGGTTGTGGGAGGAAGAGAACGTTACTCACGAAGGCGCTTTCTACACCTGCCACAACGTCACCATCACTCCCAAGCCCTTCCTGAAGCCGTCTACCCCGGTCTGGATCGGGGGACGCAGCCCCGCCGCGGCAAGAAGAGTCGGGCGCGTGGGCGACGGCTGGCTGGTTTCCAGCGTCACTCCCGCTGAAATCCAGGAAGGAAGGGACATCGTCTTCAGCACCGCCGCCGAGTTCGGAAGGGAAATCGAGGAAGACCACATCGGCGTGCTGTTGGGCTACTATGTGGCCGACGATACCGAGGAAGCGGTTGCGACGTCTTACGACTACATTACCCGGCACCGGCCCGACGCCCACTTCACTGAATATAGCGCCGTCGGCACCACTGAGCAGGTCTCCCAGACTATCCAGAGCTACATCGACGCCGGGGCGCAGAAGTTCGTGGTGCGGCCCCTGTGCCCCGCTGGCGAGACCATCAGCCAACTGGAGATAATGGGGACTAAAATCCTGCCCAAGTTCGTGAAATAAAGAGGCCGGTCTTAGCCGGAGGATTCCCCCCGCAACCCCTTCTCTACCGCTATGAGCTTGTCGAGCCGCCGTTGGAACCTTGGCTCCGGAATGAAGCTGGCTGAAAGGAAGGCGGCCAGGATTTCTTTCGACAACTCTATGCCGATTACCCGCCCACCCAAGCACACCACGTTCATCTGATCGTGCTCGACGCCTTGGTGGGCAGTGTAGGTGTCGTGGCACAGGCACGCCCGTACCCCGGGCACCTTGTTTGCGGTGATTGACGCGCCTACCCCGCTTCCACAAACGACGATGCCTCGCTCGAACCTGCCCGACTGCACCGCTTCGGCCACCGCCGCCGCAAAGTCGGGGTAGTCATCATCGGGGTCCATTTCGTGGGCGCCAAGGTCCACGACCTCATGGCCCAGCGACCGGAGCCATGGTACCAGTTGTTCTTTCAGTTCGAATCCGGCATGGTCGGCGCCGATGGCAAGTTCCACTTCCAGCATCTCCGTTAAAGCAAAGTTGGTGGTTTGGATAGCCAGTCCATATTACCATGACTCGGAAAGGCGGGAGGATCCCACACTGATTTAGACGAGTGTCAGCGGACGGTTGACACGCCGGAAGTCACCTCCGTAATCTTTTATCAACGGAAAAAGAGAGACGCGGGCGGCCAAGCCGCCGTCCGCATTTGCTTGAGGGACAGACCCCAACGCGGGTCTGTCCCTTTTTCGTTGGAGCAAATAGCAAAATGGAGGTGATAGGTTGACCAACACCGATCTGGGACTGTGGGGCCGGGACCGGCTCCTGGAAGCGTTGGACAATGCTTACAGCAGGGGCTTGAGCGATGCTCCCCTGCTGCACAAGTGGACGAAAAGTGACGTAACCGCCGCCGCTGATGACCGCGACCAGCCCATGTCGTTCATTATTTCCACCGACGACGTGGACCGCCACGGCGATGTCATTGTCGCCGGGGGATGGCATCTTGACTCGTACTTGGCTAATCCGGTGTTTCTGTGGGCCCACGACTACGCCCGGCCTGTGATAGGCCGCGCCGCGGAAGTCTGGAGGGAACCCCACCGGCTGCTGGCTCGAATGAAGTTCGCTCCCACCGAGTTCGCCTAGGAAGTGGCCCTGTTGTACCGGTCCGGCTATCAACGGGGAGTTTCGGTGGGATTTAAGCCGCTGAGCTATGAAGAGCGGCGCAACGACAAGACCGGGGCCTTTCTGGGAATCCGCTTTCTGGAGCAGGAGTTGCTGGAAACCAGCGCAGTGCCCGTGCCAGCCAACAGCCACGCTTTGAGAAAGGCTTTGGACCAAGCCCCCAGGTTGGGAGAGTACCTGAGACAGACCGTCCCACTAGAGTCGACGGTGGATGAGGTGGTAAGGGCGCTGCGCGATTCAATACGTCCGTCTTAACAGAAGGGCCGCAGAGAACTGTAGAGAATCCTGATTCGGACCATTATACGCAAGGAGGACAACATGACCATCGGAGCACAAGATTTGGACCTTATCAAACGGGAAGTAGCATCCGTGCGGGAGTACTACCAATCGCGCATGGACGCCGATATACCTCCGTTGAAGGAGGAGTTGGACCGCATCGCCGCCCAGTTGAGCAAGGCCCAGGACGCTTGGCGGGATGGCGAAAAGCGGGCCATCCTGGCCAAGGTTTCCGGCGGAGACCGCCCGCGGGTTGCCTTTGGCAAGTATGAAGGGTTGGATGTGCTGGACGTGGCCTGCATCCGCAGCCTGCTGAACGCTCAACTCAGGGACCCGTCCGGGCTCCATCCCCGGATGCTGGAAGACTGGCAGGCCAACATCAAGGCGGCGATGGACTCCACCACCGCCGGCGCAGGAGATGAACTGGTCGATACCCAGGAGGCCCGTGCCCTTTGGGACGACGTGAATCTTGAGACCTCCATCGCCCCCCTGTTCAACACGGTGCAAATGCCCAGCAACCCGTTCCAGATTCCCCTCCAGTTGGGCGACGTGAACTGGTACCCCGGCACCGAGAACGTTGCCGCAAGGGGCTCCGCTTTGACCACCGCCCGGCAGACTTTGACCGCTTACGAACTGGTGGCCGAGGTGCCTTGGTCCTACGACTTGGACGAGGACGGCGTCATCGCCATGATGGAGGAGTTGCGGCGCAGTCTCCTGCGCAACGCCCGCGAGGTCATCGACGATGTGCTGTTGAACTCTGACATTACCAGGACGAACAACATCAACGCCGACGGCGCCACAATCTCCCCCACCGACGCTGGAAAGGCCCAATGGCTGTTGGGGTTCGACGGCATCCTCCACCTGCCCTTGGTGGACAACAGTGGCCAAGCCAACAACCACCAAGCCGCGGTGTCCGACGACATGTTCAACGAGGTGAGGGCCAAGCTTGGCAAGTACGGTGTCCGCCCTTCGGAAGTGGCGTACATCTGCGACATCAACACCTACATCCGCGCCCTCTCCATAGGCAACTTCCGGACCCTGGACAAGTTCGGACCCCAAGCCACCGTCCTGACCGGCCAGTTGGGGGCTGTTGAGGGTGTCTCGGTAATAGTCTCCGAGCAGATGAGACCGGCCGACGCCGACGGCAAAGTGACCGATAGCGGAAACACGGCTACCACCGGACGGCTGCTCATTCTGAACCGCACCCAGTGGCTGGTTGGGTTCAAGCGCGAGTTGGCCATAGAAACGGTGCGGGACCCACAGAAACGCCAGAACATTATGGTCGTCAGCTTCCGCATCGCCCTCCAGGAACGCAGCGGCAATAGGTCGTCCGCCACTCATACCGCCTTGCAATACAACATCACCGGAGTCTAAGCCCCGCTTGTTCACCGCTGGGAACGGCGAGTTTTCAGGACTTTTCCGTACATCAACAGAAAGCTCCGCGAAATCCACCTCCCGCGGTGCCTTACCCCGAATCCACCATCCAACGATGAACCGATGGG